TACACCCAGTTTTAAACTTATTTATCCCGATTTATCTAAGCTTTCCTATTTACAGAAAATAATTGAAGTTTGTAAGCAAAATTTATACAACTTCGGTCAAAATTTATAATTTATCTACAATTTAGATACACTTTTTTTTATACAAAATGCGGTTTAGAAACTACACTTTTTTTTTCTACACCTGACATACAAAATATATACAATTTATTTATGTCTTCTTCTTCGAGTTTCAATCTGAAATTCTAACCAAAATCACGTTGAATATTCACTAAATTCTCGCAAAATTGAAATATAAAATCCAAAGAATATCTTCAATCATTTGCAATAACATCTAATTCAGACAAATAACAATTTCACAAAATTCGATTTTCAAATTCAAAAGTTCGAAGCTTTGAATGACTATCAACGGAGTTTAGTCTCATGTCTTCAGGTTTTGTGGCCCTTAAACTAAACTGGCATCCAAATTAGTAAATATTGGAGAAGATTTGAAGTTCTATTTCATATTTTCTTATGAAAAAATAAAAATTCAATGAACATTGAATTGTTGAAATAGCTAACATTGTTAATTCCATATTAGTGTGTTAACATATTTTATAACTATTCTGAATTTTCCAATCTATTATTTTGGATAGGTTTCAGCTTGCAAGCGGCATCAAAGTGAAGGAGCAATAGAAGTTTGAGAAAAAATAGCAATGGCAATAATAAAATGGGAATATTGAGGTCTAATACATTACTTTGTATATAAATAGTAAATTGTATATCAACTTATAAGTAAAGAGCTTGTTTGGACATAAGAATTTTTTTCCTTTCTTCCAAAAAGAATTCACTTTTTTCGAAATCAGTGTTTGTTCATAAAATTTCAATTTTCACTTGAAGATGCATTTTGAAAATTTTCGAAAATTTGAAAACTCCAAAAAGTTGTTTTCAAAATTTTCACTCAAATCACCCATAAAACTTCAAAAATAACCCAAAGTTATATTCATATCCAAACACAACTCTAAATTTCAAATACCATTTTCACTTGAAAATTTTTTTTCCCCTATTTTGGAATTTTACAATTCTTGTGTCCAAACGTCCACTAAGTTAAAACTTCAATATTGAGGGTAAATAAGTATCAAAAGTAGTATAAATAAGTAAAAATCTCATTAAAAAAAGGCTTAATCCGATCAAGGTGTACTTTTCGGGGTAATTGGTTTAATTTGATGTTGTTTTGAGTGTATTGTTGCTTGGATGCGTTATTTGATTTTTTGAGACGCTTTGAAGTATTAGATATATGGCATTTTAAGATTTAACTCCTTTAATATTGGTCTAACCCCTAAGCCGGCCATAAATAAGTAAAGGAAAAAGGGTTCAAAATGCCTCTAAACTATTGGAAAAGGTTTAAAAATACTCTTCATCCATCTATTGGGGAAAAAATACCCATCCATCCACCTTTTTGGTTCACTTATACCCTTTGACCGTTAGGTCAATACTAAATTAAAAATAATTATTATTCTTTTTGTAAAACTTAAAAAAAAATATTTTACAAAATATTTTCGTTTTTTTAAACTAATGCAACAGTAGTCCAATAATTTAGTAAAGTTTTCTTCTTCTTCTTTTTCTACCAGTTTTTACAAAAACAATTCAGTTTTTACAAAAAATATTTGTTTTTTCTAGTTTTTTTAAAGTCTTTTTTTTTGTTAAAAACTTAGTATTTTTTTTTAGGTTAAAAACTAAGAAAAAAAGTTTTTTAAATATTTCAATTTTTAAAATTGAAAGAAAAGCATATTTTGCAACAAAATATTTTCCGTTTTTCAGTTTTTTTTTTTAAAAAAGCGAAAATATTTTTTCTTTTCAAAATCAAACTGAAAACGAAATGCTTTTAGAAAAACTGAAAAAAATGGAAAAAAGAAAATATTTTTTTTTATTTTTTAAAAAACGAAAAACTTATAAAAAATTTTTACAATTTTTTCCAATACAAAAAAAATTTAACTGAAAAAAAATTTTATATTGTAAAATGAATCGTTTTTTGTAAAAACTGAATAAAAAAAGGACTTTACTAAATTAGTGGACTATTGGTGCATCGATTTAAAAAAACGAAAAAATGTGCAAAATATTTTTCTAAGTTTTACAAAAAGAATAATAATATTTTTATTTAACATTGACCTAACGGTCTAAGAGGGCATAAGTAAACAAAAAAGTGATGGTGAGGGGTATTTTAGTCCAATAGGTGGATGAAGGGTATTTTTAACTTTTCTAATAGTTTAGGGGCATTTGAACCTTTGTGTGCTTTTGTGTGCTTAAGGGTGTGTTGGTACGAAGAAATATTTTCGGAAAATATTTTCGCGGAAAATATTTTCCTATTTTCCCATGTTTGGTTGCTTAAATGTTTGGAGAAGAACATTTTCCTTATGAACTCATTTCCTCCAATTGGAGGAAAATGTTTTCATTATCAAGAGAAGGGAAACATTTTCCAAAACTCCTTCTCAACCTTCCCTACCCTCACCAACCCACCCAACCCCTCTCTCCAAAAAAGGTTTTTTTTTCTTTCTCAATTTTCAGTTTTTCCTTTACCACCGACCTACTACCTCCACCCACCCACCATCCCACCTCCAAGCCCCCTCCCGCAAAAAAATATATTTTTTAATTGAATTTCAAAATTTCTAGTTTTTCGTTTTTCTGCACCACCCCCCCCCCCCCCCCTTCAAAAAAAATTCTAAATTTTATAATTTCTAATTCTGTTTTTTTCACTTTTTCTCCCTACCCTCGTTTTTTACCCCCCCCCCCCCCACTACCTTTCTCCAAAAAAATATTTTTTAATATATTTTTCAGTTTTAGTTTTTTTATTTTATCTGTTTAAAGGTTCAAAATTTTACAAGTTCCAAAGTTATGAGTTCAGAGGTTTATGTGTTTAGAAGTTTACGGGTTAGAAATTTCGCTGTTTCGAGCGGTTCGAAAGTTTATGAAAAATGTGGGTTCAGAAGGTTGTTGGTTTGAAAGTTTATGGCTTCATGTTTATTATATCTAAATTATTTATGAGTACTCTTGAGAAGTCATTTTCCTTAATTTACGTACCAAACACCGAAAAATGAATAAGATTACTACTTGTTTTTCAAGAAAATATTTTCTTGGAAAATATTTTCCAAATACCAAACACACCCTAAATTTGTTGAAATTCTTCTTGACACAACAAATTTAAAATTTCAGTTGGTTGTAATTGTAAATGTTGAGTGCGGGTAAATTTTTCTATTAGTTACAATTAAAATGGTAGTTCGAGGACTGAAATAGCAATCTACTCACTAACAGGTTTCAAAATTGGGAATACTTTAAGTGCAGCCAGAAATTCAAAAATAGTTAGATTTATAAGTGGTCATTCAAAAATAGTCACAGTTTCAAAAGTAATTGAAATTTAGCCACTTTTCATGTAAAGATAAATCCGAACGAAAGCACAGTTCAAAATGCGAAAAAAATACTCCAGTATAATATACTGAAATTCCATTATACTTATGCCGGAACTCCAGTATATTATACTGGAGATTGGAACACCGGTGCTCCAATCTCCAGTATATTAACCTGGAACTTTCTGAGTGTTTGAGTTCCAGCATAATATGCTAGAAGTTCATACACAGGTGCACCGATCTCCAGTATATTATACTGGAACTTTCCGTGTTGCAGCAAAATAATGGCTATTTTTCGATGACTTTACAAACGTTGGCTATTTTTGAATGACCAGTCCAAAAACTGGCTAGCCCGTAATATTTTTACTTAGGTGCATGCATCTAACTATTGGAGTTAGATAAAATACATAACCCTCCATATGTAGGTCTGCCCATCTGCCATAGCATAAACAGTACCATTCCTACTGCAAGGGAATCTAGTAATGAATCCTAATGCAATCAATTCTGGTTAATTCAGTAACCAACTTTTGAAACGCCTATTTAACTTGTTAAAAAGGAAAATAATACGAATATGTCTTCTTCTTTTTTTTCTTTTTTTCTTTATACATATAATATTTGAAACTCACTAATTTAATTAATTCAAATTCACACCATATAGGACTCATTAAAGGAGGAAACGCTTTCTATCATGAGTTTCACCATTCTCAAGGCTCGAACTGAGACCTTAATTAAGAATAAAGAAATTTTAACATAAAAAATTTAAGGTGGAGAAATAATTGTAACTGCGAGTCTGCGACAATTAGTAGATATGTATTTCGAGAAACAATTAATTGATGTGGTTAATATAGGACGACACAGGAGATCATAATTTTAACTCAACTTAAGATCGCTGGCAAGAATTATTCAGAAGGGGTCATTTGGTTGGAATACGATTTATACCGGTATAAGTTATGCCGGTATAAGTTATATTGGGATAAGTTATGCTGGGATTAGTTATGCTGGGATTGTTGTTTATTTATTATTTGGTATGTTGTATTAAGAATGACAATTGCATAATTTCTAAGAAGAAGGTATAAGTAATACCGGTGCTAATTACCCCACCTTCTATAAAGTATAAGTTATCCCAGTGTTAAAATTAACACCGGAATAACTTATACCTGTTTTGTTAACCAAACAGAGTATTAAAGTGGTATTAAATTTTTATACTACCCTTATACCTTCTTATACCTC